ATGTACAAGCTACCCAGTGTCAGATAACAATACGAAGAATTAAATTGTGGCAGAATGCTACAAGTTCTTCAAATACCTATAGAATGATAGGTTTCTTTTTGGTGAATGTAAAACCCATAAATACACCAGTTTAAATCTTTTATTCTTTTAATTCTTGTTTTATGTATGCATTTCAAGTGCTACGGCTACAGTGACATGTTATCTAATCAATTCAATACCAGCCGCAGTACATATATCATCACAATTGTACATATTGTATACTTGTTACATGACTTCTAAAACATTGAGTCACACGAATAGTAAGGAAAGGCTTACAAGTGTTCTTTTTTTCTCCCAAGGAATCATTGTGTATTACTGATGGTAATGTTTTGTGTAAACTTAAAAACCATTATCCCAAATTATAGTAGGTAACACTATTTGGCTAGGCCTGTCGTACGTTAGAATTTGTTTTTATTCACTTACATTCCATTTTTGAGGGACACGTCTGTTCATTTGTGAAATTCATCTCTATGCTTGGTAAATGATTTTACTACAGTCCTGCATGTAAGTCTTTAATAGTTAAAACAATCATTACTCTACAATCTATAAACAGAAAGAAATAATTTAAGTCTACAACACTTCCTGATTGATGTAACAATAAATAGAAACATTGTTAAAAAGTTCTCAAGAGTAAGAGAATACAATATACATGTTGTTCACAGCACAATGTATTAAAATTTTAAAGCATTTACAGATCTAACCTATATAAAGTAAGTGAAACAAAGATTTCTGGTGTGGATAGTTGGGGTGAAAAAGAAATCACACAAAGTTTATATTTAAATAAATGAATACCATACCTCATGACACGAGCAGCATAATAAGTGCTACTAGTCACGTTAACAATATAAAAAATATGCCTATACTTTATGGTGTAGGTTTAACAGCCACTTGATAGTTTATCAGATCGAAAATGAAATATTATTAATTTTCACAATTCTACATGTAACATTACATTACTGAATTATATTTAGAAGTCCTATATTATATTCTAAATAAGGTTTTCATGCTTCAGAAAATCTGTGTGAAATTCACTTAATCAGAACATTGTAAACGTAATCTGAGTTAAGCCTACTTTGTAGTTTCTGTTTCAGTCTCTAATATGTATATTATTTGGTGTATCTACTGACAATGTTTTTTCTACATATTATGTTAATATACACTCTGCACCAAGATAAACTGACAGGCAGGTATTAAGGTATATCGGACTTACTTTCATCATTAGCCCACACATGCTGAAAACCATACTTAGCACATTCATGTAGTCTGGTGTTGGATCATCTCCTGGAGTCCCTGAGGCAGGGGCCTTGTATCTGGAGTAAAATTGTTTAAAAATTAAAATGCATATCGTACACCAAAATCTTTCTTTGTTCATCTAACATTCATCACAACAGCCTTACTGTGAAGAATTATAAAAACTTTAAACTTACAATAATTTGAAACTGTTTTTTGGCATCATGCAAGAAGAATACTCAAGATCATTGTATCTTCAAGTTTCTCTCTTTATTGAAATAAGAAATTCATCACACTGCTAGAATTAAGTTAAAAACAAATATTTGCTAACAGAAGTATACTTATGTTCACTGTATAACAAGTTTTTGATATTATGTGAAACTCTGAGAAAACGGTTAACCTTAAGAATACCTCATACTAGTTATTTCTCCGATATTCATCCGCCTATTGCACATATAACACACACTTCTTATTGTGACTTAACATGTCTTATGAACATAAATACTACTAAATCTTGTAGTAAAAAGGTGGAGATGTGCCATATTTAATTCTGTTTTTTTACCCCCTTTCTTGGGAAAAAGCTTCAAATAAAATAACTTATGTGCACCATCAAATAGATTCTAGTTACCATACAAAAACTACAGTAATTGAACCAGCCAATACTAAGTGATGGATGCTAATATACACAAACACAAAATGAATCATTTTTATAATAAGTTGACAAGGAAATGGTCATGTTTGCCTGTGAATGTGATACAATAATTTTGGGTTTAGTTAGTTGTGAGAAGGATGGTATTCCTTGATAGGTTGTTTAGGCAGAGTATTCATAATGAATCCAAGTTTCAAATGGACAGCCACTGCCTGTTATAGAAACCTACAAATGTAGAGGACGACGTTTCGAAAGTCTTCCGCCTTCAGGTCCTTAGATGCAAGGATGGTATTGTTTTATAAAGGGAGTTGAATCATTTGTCAAATGAGGAAAATAAATGCAGATGGTATTTAATTATGATAAATGTAAGGTAATACATGTAGGCAACATTTAAAATTAAAATATAATTAACATATTGATAAAAAACAACCACATACTGGCAATAGTTATGGAAAAAAATAGAGCCTTGGTATTCCGCTCGATCAGTCCTTTAAGCCTTGCAGGCAGTGTGTTGCCGCCAGTGGCAAAACAAATATATGTAGGATTTTGTATCCTATCTACAGGAATACCGAATAGTGAAAAATGTTATAGTATCTTTATTATTATCTGTTTATACTGATCGCTCGTTAGGCCTCATTTGAAATTGAAATAGTGATCAGTTTCGCCTTTCGAGCTACTTCGATAAGCCCATTCTGTATCTATGCCTAACTCATGCTTAACTTTAATAGCAGATAGATAATTTCACTTTACATTACCTCTGAATTTTTTCTGGTCGTTTTGGATCTGAAGGGTTAATTGGAACAGACATAGTAACAATAAACAAAAGTTAAATTTCAAGTCTATTTTACACCTAAATTCTTACACTACTCAATTTTCAGAAACAATTAGTGCTGCCCTCTCGATTTTTTACTACTTTTATTCATAAAATATGCACACAACTTTATTGTTCTCTCTGTATATATATATATATATCACGCTGGAATGAATTAAAAAATAAATAACACAACAAAAGTATGACTTTAACCTTACAATATGAAAGCATATAGTCAGTGTTGTAAATAACACCAATATAACATCCTTGTTGTACAAATTTAAGGTTCGAAAGTTTTAATGAGATGAGATGTGTGTTGTCTAGTGGCTATGATGTGATAGAAATTTATTGAACGGGTAAATATCTAAGAAATTTCCTTGTTCTCACAGATTTATGAATAAGAAATGTATAAGTGAACTTTTAGACGACATCAGAAAATTGGCATAATCTATACCATTATAATAAAAACCTCCAGATTTATTTATTTACCCCTCCTCGTTCTTTTCAAGTACACAAGAATATATGCATGCCCAACGAAGATATTTTTCTACTATGGTCCTAAACTAGGCAATACAGTTTGTTTTGTACTTTTAGGGCAATCTTGGTGCGTTATAAAAGTGACTGTAAGATCCCACTATCTGGCCATATCAGACAAACCGAAGAGTTGGCATCGGGTGTTGTTGACTATCTCTCGTTCTTAGATGTTCATGTTTTGCATATATAGGGCATACTTATCATTAATTATTCACATTTTGAAAGTTTCACTTCCTCAATTTTTAAACTTTAAAGGAAATTTGGCTAAAGTCCTGCTGTACAAAGGGTAAACTACCAGGAAAGCAAAGTATTTTTGAAGCAGGAATTGAAAACATTAAGCAAATGCTTAGAAGAAACTTTTCCATTGTTATTTCTAAATAGAATAATCCGCACAAAAACAACAACAACAACCACATACCCATTTTTTTGTTATATTAGACGTTCTGAAGAAAATTGTTACTTTAGTCATATTATACTAAGGCACTATGCCACACATGATTAAAAAAAATTGTTAAAAAACTATATCCACTAGCTTAGTCAAAATATATTTTTAAAACAGACTAGGTTAAAAGGGCTCTTCAATTTTAAAGACAAACAGCATCCATTGAATATGACGCTAGTGGTATATGAGTTCACATGCCCTAGACGCAACCAGGGACATATTGGATCAATCACTAGAAGGCTCTGCAGTCGAATTAAAGAACACTGTAACAATAAAAGCTACAACATCAGTAGTGTTATCAACCACTGTGTAAAAGAAAGGAACAAGAAATTTAATCGTCTAGTCTTTCATTTTAAAATTAGGGACGGCTTTTTTGTAATTCTGGATAAGTGAACATTCTGAAACAAAGAAATTCCAATTTTTAAACTTATTAGCAAATTATAAATAAAATAAAAGCAAATTTAATCACCGATAGCCCATTGTGTGGCTTTGTGCTTAACTTCAAAACAACAACAACAACCATACGAAAATGGTTCTAATTTTGCTCAAGAGATGGCAATGATTTCTTATAAACTTATATTGGAGTTATAATAAGTTGGCGAACAACGGTTTATTTTGCGGGGAACATACTACATGTTTCAACAGAACACTGGTCTGTCTTCTTGTGTGTTTCCTTACTCTAGTTGTACAAAAATAATTTTTACGTTGGTGAAATCTTCCTTATATACACATTTTTTAGCCATTTTTGCTACCGAGAAAAGTGTAGACAATCAATGTGATTAACATTACTGCTTTATTGAATGGCTATAGTATCGACCATTTAGCTGATAAGATATGATATATAATGAAATTGTAGACCTCAAGTGGCAGGATTAATATAAAACAATATATTTTCATTGCACCTTATATTGTTTCCGCTGTTTCTTCTTTTCTTATTAACTCTGCCTAAATTTTTTATGTATTGTGAAAGTGGCTCACCAAATCCGTCCATTAATTAAATTGCTACTAATTCTAATTTATGCTACTGTTAGAAAGTAATCGGACCAAACTTTGTCCAGTGGTTATTTATGCTGGACTGTGGATACATGTGTCGCGGTGGATGAGTTTTTAGAGTGACAATCAAATCCAATTATTCAATTAGAGTGGCTAACGAATTGACGGTAGGTGGAGTTGACTATCACTTCCAGATTAGGGACGGCTAGCGCAGAGCTATACAATTGGCCACCTACGCTCTGTTTATCATGAGGAATCGAACCCAGGATTTTATCGTGGTAAATTCTTAAACTTACCTTTCACCCACCAAAAGACAGTGCAGATAATGTTTGAGTGGTAAAAAATCAACAAGCAACAAATAAATAAATAATCACATTTAGATTTAATTATATAAAGTTGAAAATAACATGAGTTTGAGTTATATATTTAAAGTATTTGAACTGGTATTTTATGTGTGTGGTGTTATCGTAAAATGAATACATCGTTCTGATAACCTAGTCAGTCAGCTGATACATGTGTAAACTTACTGTCGTTGTTTTGGTCAGTCAGCTCATATATGTGTGTAAACTTGTCGTTTTTTGGTCAGTCAGCTCATATATGTGTAAACTTTTTGTCGTTGTTTTGGTCAGTCAGCTGATATACGTGTAAACTTATTGTCGTTCTTTTGGTCAGTCAGCTGATATATGTGTAAACTTATTGTCGTTCTTTTGGCCAGTCAGCTGTTATATATGTAAACTTATTGTCGTTGTTTTGGTCAGTCAGTTGATATATGTGTAAACTTGTTGTCGTTCTTTTGGCCAGTCAGCTGATATATGTGTAAACTTGTTGTCGTTGTTTTGGTTGGTCAGTCAGTTGATATATGTGTAAACTTATTGTCCGTTGTTTTGGTTGGTCAGTCAGTTGATATATGTGTAAAGTTATTGTCGTTGTTTTGGTTGGTCAGTCAGTTGATATATGCGTAAAGTTATTGTCGTTGTTTTGGTCAGTCAGCTGATATATGTGTAAAGTTATTGTCGTTATTTTGGTCAGTCAGCTGATATACGTGTAAACTTATTGTCGTTGTTTTGGTCAGTCAGCTGATATATGTGTAAACTTGTTGTCGTTGTTTTGGTCAGTCAGCTGATATATGTGTAAACTTATTGTCGTTGTTTTGGTCAGTCAGCTGATATATGTGTAAACTTGTTGTCGTTGTTTTGGTCAGTCAGTTGATATATGTGTAAACTTGTTGTCGTTGTTTTGGTCAGTCAGTTGATATAC